AACCTTTGTAACATCAAAAATGATTAATCTATATTTAATTTATACAGTGAAGACTATGCAGTTATTTTACATTTGATTATTACATTTCTGTAGTGTACCTGAAAATGTATTTTAGACTGAGCTGTTTAAAATAGATATATAATATCGATATATCGATCGATATACTCCTGTATCGAATCGAATCTTAATCGTATCGTAGAATTTTTTTTGAGGCATAGGCAAATATCGTACCGCTGGGTATGAGAATCGACATCGTATCGTATCGTGACGAACCTTCCGATTTACAACCCTAGTTCTCGGTACCAAAGCAAAACGCAAAAACGTGCTAATTAAAAAATTTGACTATACTTTAATTTAATCCAAACTGTGTACATATTTAATTTTAAAGGTCTTTTGAAAACCTTCTAGAGTTATTCAGCCAAGAATAAAAACTAACTACATTAAAATAGTTAATAAAGAAACTTCATTCTAATGCTCATTATACTAGCATTAGCCGTGCTTATGCTAACAATTAACTACTCTAATAACAGCGTTCATTTCAATCCGACATTCAAATTAAAATATTGAATAATATTCATAACAGAAGCAGTGTTTCCCCGCAGACTTGCACTCTATTTGTGGCGGCATATAAGTTATTCTAGAAAAATCAGTGCACAATAATTTTAGAAATCCAAACGTTTAGTGAAAAAACAATATTTTGTGGGGAACAAATAAAAGTAAATACTAAATATGGTCAAATGTTATACAGTGCAGCACGAACTGTTTTTATACAGTCAACCCTCAACGGGGACACCTTGGCAATTGAATCGCCATTGGCTAGTATATGGCAGATTTGTGCTATATTTTCATCTACGTTATTAAGTGTAATAGTTGTAATTAAGTTTTATTTTTAAGTTATTTAGTTAAGTTTTAAGTTAAGTTTATTAAGTTTTATTTTCCATACGCGTTTTAGAATATTAGAAGCAGTCTTTTCATATAGAGCATCTATTCTTGCCGTGACTGTTTTGTGTGACGGAATGTCATACTCGGGGCTCAACGTAATGCATGAAATCTTTAAATCCTTCTCCGTCGACAAAACTAATGGGGAGCAGATCTTTCACCACCATTTCAGCGATTAGCTGTGTCATCTTCTTGGTTCTGCCTGCTTTGCATTTTGGTCTTACGGCAAATGATGCAATGCTCGTCTGAGTTGCCGCTCTGTTATCGCCAGACATTTTATGTACAAATGTTAGATGATAGCGCATTGTACTTGTTGTAGATTTGTGTGACAGCTTGGCGCTGCACAGCTTGCACTGAACTGTATTTTCATCGGTCTTCTCAAAGTGAAACCAGACATCACTACGTGACTTTGAGACCATGATTCTCTCTTCTCACGTCTTTTGATGCATCCTGTGGCAAGCTAACCAATCAGAGCTCAGGGCGCCGCCCAAAGTGCTGCTATAACCAATCAGGGAAAAGAAGAAAAAAAAAAAGAAAAATTCGATCATCGTTTACATGATCGATCATCGCTGTCACGGTTGAGTACTCGAGTACTCGATCACTACACAATTTACCTGAAGACGTTTTAAAGACTCGCGGAAACCCTAATAAGAACATAGTCCAGTGCAAACATTTCTGTCATGCATTTGGCAAAAAGCTTTTGTTGACTATGAATTTTACCTTTGAAATTTGAGGCAAATGCAACTCTGGCGGCCCCGTTGTTTGTGAGCAGTGGTGTGATGGTGATTTAAATAAAATACAGATTTCCAAACATACGGGTATCCCCTTGAACTTGGTAAAAAGATAATCTGTTTACCATCTTGACTTGAAAATACTGTTTTCATGGTCAGTTTTTCATTTATTATTTGCTAATGTTAATTAATGTTTACATTAGAGTGCACGTCCTATGCTGAAATTAATAGGGGAGCGGCTGGAAATAGCGACCTCTCCTGGTTGGAGATAGTATTAACATCATAAACTGAAAGCAATCTTTACGTGACTTGCTTTTCAGATGTTTTAAAATTGATCATCTGAGTCTAATATGATCCAGCGGGCCGTACTAAAAGACACTACAGGCTGTATACGGCCCGCGGGCTGCCAGTTGCCCATCCCTGATCTATAATATGCAGGCAATATGCTCAGCTGGTGACAAATCATTTAACACCTCTTCTAACCCGAGGAATCGTCTCTGCACCTGACTACAGAGAGACACGTCACTGCTAGTTATTTATTCACTGATTGCACCAAAGCTTCTCATAATAGCAACAGGATGTGATAGATGTCTTATGTGTTTTCAGCATCAGCAACCTGCAGCTGTCACTAAAACGAGAAAGTGCACTGTTCTTTCTGTTCATCCCTTCTTTCATCTTCTCTTTCTATACAGTTAACCCTCGCAGATGAACAGACTGAAGTGACACGGAATGGCCTGGAGTCAAAAGAGCCTGTGTATTTGGTTCAGATCTACTGTCAGGTAAGACAATATCTTGTGTAATAATTTTTGTCTGTGCACAAACACATTGGTGTCTTTGTGCGTTTCATTGCTTCTTGCCATTTTTTCAGTGTCTCGCCCATTGGATTGCCAAGTTTAAAACTGTAAAAACTTCTGAAAACAAGTTTAGCAGAATCTAGTACCAATCTGCAAATGCAAGAGTGTGGTTCTCACAGTAAAGGGAGAGATGAAATATCTACTTGAGACGCCCCAGTAAAGCTGTAAATTTAGCCCTACTATGAGCTGTTGCTTATAAATTTGTGATGTAGACCTCCTACGTTTTGGTTTTGGTAGTTGGTTGCTACAAACTTTCAGCCGTCCTTGTTTTACAAAAGCAAGAAAAATAAGCAATAATCCACTCAACAATGAAACTGGACTGTTTTCATTAAATGAACTGTCCCTTTAAATTTAGTGCAGAATTTAGGGAGCTTGCTGCTTGTGCACTTGATTTGAGCGCTGGCAGCTCTGGTTGAAAAGTCAGTGGAAAAATATCTAAAGTCTTGGTTTGTGTGTGGAAACCTCATTCCATCCTGGTGTGTGAGATGTCCAAATCTACAGCACTGCTCCTGTGTTTTTATAAAGGAGAAAAAAAAACTTTAACGAGTCTGAGGGTGCAGATTTGGCCAGGAGCCGTTTGAATGGACAGGGATCAGATGCACAGGAAAAGTGCTTTAGTTCCACTCTCATTGCAGTTTTTCCTAACAAATGCACTACTCAGTCCCATATGAAATGCACTGGCAGCAGGAAGGCCGAACAACTGTGTTTGTTTTCCCTATGCGTGCGCTAGTACACCAGCATTTTTTGAGGTCTTTTTTTCCCTGGCCCTGATTCAGAGAGATGTTTTTAGGTCAAATCAAAGACATTGAGGTTTTCCATTTACTGTGAATATGGGGTCTGTGGCTTGGAGACTGAAGAAATGAAGGGAAAAATGCAGATATTCCAGAAGAGAGAGGAAGAAATGGATAGGTTTTTAAAAGGGGTAGTGGCATAAATTGATTTGGAGTTCATTAGAGCGGATAATAGGTCTATACAATGTAAATTTAGCAAGAATATAGGCTAATTCATTATGGTCTTATCATATACAAGGGTCCAAAATTTATTTTTGTGTCTAATCTTCACACGCGTTAAATATCGCATGCGATTAATCGTGCAGCCCTAGTCTATACAATGTAAATTTAGCAAGAATATAGGCTAATTCATTATGGTCTTATCATATACAAGGGTCCAAAATTGATTTTTGTGTCTAATCTTCACACCAATGGCAGATACATTTTTACTAGCTATAAAACTGTTTTCAAAATTGATTTGGAATGCAAGCAATGAGTATCATGTCAGTCTCTGCTGTGTATAAAATATAAACCCTTTTTTGGAACATACATATGCTGCAGTATGTTGTTTAATTAAGAGATCTGATTGGTCAACAGTGGGTCTGCAGCAGTGCACAGTGTGCCCTAGTCAAGCTGCACAGGAATGTCAGGATGATTGATGCTTTACACAGGGCAGCCACAAAAGCATTGGGGCAAAGGGAATCCACCATGAGAGGCAGGGATGAGAAAGTTAACACACTCAGTCTGTTCCCACACTCTTCTCCATAGGATCCCATCAGCATATTCTGTTTCATATTCACTAACATCTTCAAATTGGGAATTCTCAGGTGCTTTATACAGCTGCTGATGCATCCTGCTATCAGACCGTAATGTAGTGTAATTATGTAGATTGAGCCCTTTTCAGGCATGCTCTTGTACAGATTGAATTTTTGGGAATTCTCAGGTGCTTTATACAGCTGCTGATGCATCCTGCTGTCAGACCGTAATGTAGTGTAATTATGTAGATTGAGCCCTTTTCAGGCATGCTCTTGTACAGATTGAATTCGTGTTCTTTTGAATGGTAGTGTACTGTATGTCATGTAAAGTTTGAGGTCAGTATGATTTTTAAATGTGTTCGAAAGAAGTCTCTTATGCTTAATGTATTTAATCAAAAATACAGTAAAAGCAGTACTATTGTAAAATATTAGAATTTAAAATGACTATTTTCTATTCACACACACATATATATAATATATATATATATTAAAATGTAATTTATTCCTGTGATGGCAAATCTGAATTTTCAGCATCATTACTCCAGTCTTCAGTGTCACATGATCCTTCAGAAATCATTATAATATGCTTAATTGGTGCTCAAGAAACATTTCTTCTTTTTTAATGATTTTTTGATGAATAGAATGTTTAAAAGAACAGCATTTATTTGTAATAAAAATATTTTGTAACATTAAAAATTACTTTAATGTTACTTTTTAACAATTTAATGCATCCTTGCTAAATAAAAGTATGAATTTCTTTCAAAAAAACAAGCAATAAACTATCTTACTGACGCCAAACATTTGTGATGTAACGGCTTCCTTTTTATGCAACACTTTTTTATCATATGTTTCATATTAGCTGATAAAATCCAGAGCTCGCCTGCTTAAGCTCAGCCAGTGTTGTTTTGTGAACACTAAACATATCTTTCATCTGATGCAATGTTTTTTCTTCATAATTTTCTGGAAGTTTTATAATACAGTTTTGAAATCTCCCACTGAATGCGTAGTGAACTGGGATTCGCCTTTATCAAACTACTGGGTTCCATATATTATTTTCCCCAAACATTAGACTCTATTTTCTATTTAAAATTATTAGCATTTCCTTCAGGGAATGCAAATCTAGCTGTAACTGTAAAAAAAAAAAAAACTGTGTGGTTACTGTCCCTCTCCTCAATGCTTTGAATGCTGCTTTGTCCAGGATTAAACACACACAGCTGTAATGTGGCTGCTCTGAAGTGGCTGTTGTGTGTGGTCATCCTGTTGCTGCACTGGCCAAATGAGGTTTATCCAAGAACTGAGCCCTCATATTTACCCTGCAGACCAAACGTCAACACTCTCTAACACTTGCTTGTTTACCTTTTCAAGTTACGGCCCTCTTTTACTGCCCCACAGGGAAGAAGCTGGATCGTGAGGCGGAGCTATGAAGATTTCAGAGTGCTGGACAAGCATCTCCATCTCTGCATCTATGACCGCCGCTTTTCCCAGCTCCCCGAGCTGCCCCGTTTCGACAGCCTGAGGGAGAGAGCAGAGGTAAGACCCCAAATACTTCTCTTTTAGCACTCCCCTGCGGCCAGTGAGACATTTTAGGCTCTTGTCTGTAAACATAGAATGGTCAGAGCTTCCATACACAGTGCTTATCCTGAAAGATGCCCCTCTCAGAGGAGCTTTAGACATCTGTGATGAGTGAGTGCTCAGTGAGGCTGGTTAACAGCACCTAATGGCGTTGCTTGAGAGACCGTCAGATGGATATCCCTGTAGTGTTCAAAAAAACCTCTTCTCCCTGCTGTGTTGGGCATACCTAGCATTTGTTTCACAGAGTAGTATACTTGAACCGTGCCATATTTTCACAGCTAAACTGATCTGCTTTGAAGTTTGAGTGGCTGATAATGCCGCCCATAATGTTTTGCAGTAATGGAACTCTCCAAGCTGCTAAGTGGAAGCTTCCACGATGCTTTTGTGTGTAATCAGGCGCTTTGAGCTTCCCCATAACAAGAAAAGAGCTCCAAGGTCATATTTCACCTATTGGATTGTGCAGTTTTATTTGTAGAGAGATCTTGGTAAAGATGCATCTGAATCTTGAAAGAGGAGCTCGGTATTACAAGCTCTGAGATGATTTTAAAAGGTTAACTGGTTCTGATTTATAGGAACAAACACCTCAAATGACACACTAATTATGAGGCTTGCCTATGCATTAAATGTGTGATGTCTCACACAAATGAGCCTCATTAGCACACGAGCAAAACATAGCAAATAACTGAAGCAAGCGACCGTATCATTAAAGAACGCTGTTCAATTTCTGTTTACCTACATTCTTCATGTTGTTTTCTAGTATAGTCAACACAAGCAGAGTTCCCTTGGATTTTAGAGGTGCATGAAGCCATATCGAGCATGAGAGTTCTCACAGCTGTCTGTTCGGTCTTCTTTGACCTAATTATGCTTCCTTTGCAGCCCCTTTTGGCCTTAGTTTTACATTTTGGTGAGTCTGCCAGCATACGTCTGGAAAAGGAATTGACAGGAAGGTGGATTTTGGGATAGGTTCAGCTGGAACAGATTCCATCAGTGCTCGGTGGATCATGAATAAACTCTTATGGGATTTCATTGGCACATTTTAATATCCATTTAATATCTTTTTTTCTCTCGTTGACTGGCTGTCCATCAGTCACCAAAACACTTGTCTTTCATATGATATTACATTACACTAATATATATACAGGTGCATCTCAATAAATTAGAATGTCGCTTAAACTACTTCAGTCTGTGTGCATTGAATTTATTTAATACACGAATTTCACAATTTGAGTTGAATTACTGAAATAAATGAACTTTTCCACGACATTCTAATTTATTGAGATGCACCTGTACACTATGGTATCAGACCCTTTAATTAGGTGGTGATGACTATAAAGCTTAGTTAAAAAAACAGCAGTTATTTGAAATATTTTGTGAAATAATCTTGTGTAAATTTGTAAATGTCTTTACTGTCACGTTTGATTGCTTTAATGCATACCTGGTGAATAACAATATTAATTTCTTCTCAAAAACATCTTACTGACCTCAAGTTTTTGAATTATAGTGTACATTTAGCCATGTTGTGTACATTGTTATTGTTTATATTTGGCCAATTGCCCTCCAATATTTTTCATATGCAGATATGCTGTGACTGAAGAGAAATATTTAAATAACATTAATATTTTTACTATTCTGTAGCAAAGTGCATTAACATATTGAATGTTGTTTTCAACTCATTTTAGCTTTTCTGAAAGAGACACATAGAAACCTTGATTAAGTAATGAGTCCTTTTGTTTTGACCTTCCTTGTCTGTATTTACAGTACTACAGATTAATACACAGAGATGCATTATGGCATTTAAAAACAAATTCTGCAGACCAAACTCGGATGTGGAGAGTCACAAACAGAGAAAACCTATTTAAGATTTAAGAAATGCTCTCTTTAATTTTCTCTGCCTAAAAAATCTTGTGTAAAGCACACACACACAAAAACACAGTTTCTTCAGAGCTTCTGTAGGCTTGGTGCCGTAACACAATTACTTTTTTTTTTTTAAGTCGCAGGTTTTAACGTTAAGCTCTTTGTTGATGTGCTGAGTCTGACACCCTCCTGTCTCTATTTTCCAATAGGAACATTTTTTATTATAACTACTGTATTTTTAGACTGATCTGTATGTAATAGGGTTTAAATAGAAGTTAAAGGGGTCATATGATGCGATTTGAAGTTTTCCTTTCTCTTTGATTAAAGCATGTCAACATATTCTGTTACACCAAATACACAAAATAATGATCTTTAAAAAAGCATCATATGACCCCTTAAGATTTAGAAACAGATGTGTGGTTGAGCTCTTTTATTAGACTGATCTTTTGAGCAGTATAAATATAAGACAGCTCCACCTCACCTCCTTCTGCTACATTAGATTTTATGCAAGTCATGTGGAAGTATAATCCAAATAATTTTATATCTCAGCGTGCAAATGGAGCCCTTTTAAAGTAGCCACAGTCACCAAACATACACTCCAAAAAACAATAACTGCTATGCCACAAATAAATGTATACCAAGCTTTTTACGGCATATTTCACTGAAGAGATTAGCATTGTTTCTGAGAGTGTGTAAAAATGCAAATGCAGCTGAGTTGCGTACTCAAAATATGCGTAGATTTTAATTCTGCATGTTTTATGTCGAGAAACTACACAGTTTCTACACGGAAAGCTGCATTCCCTGCACCTACCCTATCATTTTCTAATGAAAAAGTATGCAAACTCAGGTTTATGTGCGCTTTTAACCTCCCTGTAAAAGTACTCTGTATTTATAGAATTACCCCCTTGGAAGTTGTCACACTAGCTTTACCCTCCCTCGCTCGCTCTCTTTCTCCCAACAGGCAGTTTCCCAGATGCTGATGGCTTACCTCTCCCGTCTCTCAGCAATTGCTGATAATAAGATCAACTGTGGGCCAGCCCTCACATGGATGGAGGTACTGATTTGATACCATTTGTGCAGAGATAGCTGATTATTCACTTGAATAATCAGTGAGGATGAGGGATGTTCACTGAACACATATTCAATGTTGCCATTAGCTGGGGTGTCATATTTATCTCTTTCTCCAGGTTGACAACAAAGGGAATCACTTGCTGGTGCATGAGGAGTCATCCATAAATGTTCCAGCTATCGCAGCGGCCCATGTGATCAAGCGCTACATTGCCCAGGCAGCTGATGAGCTGTCATTTGAGGTGACTGGGATAAAAATTAAGACAGATTAATGCAGTATTGAAGATGTGTGATTGTCATACTAATAATGATTATTTTGTGAAGAGTCTTGATTAATTTCTCTCTCTCCCTCTCTTTTTCTCAGGTGGGGGATATTGTTTCTGTAATAGACATGCCACCCAAAGAGGACACCACCTGGTGGAGAGGAAAACATGGTTTCCAGGTTTGTTCCTCATGATTTAGCCCTCTATTTCAAGTGTACGTGGCAGTTTAGAAATTGCAGGTAGAGTCCCCCTGGAGCAACTGACGATTAAAGGTGGGGTAAGTGATTTCTGGTAGCCAATGTTGATATTTCAAATCACCTCACGGTGTGTGTGTTCACTGCTGTGTGTGTGCACTTAGGATGGGATAAATGCAGAGCACTAATTCCGAGTATGTGTAACCATACTTGGCCACGTCACGTCACTTTCACTTTCACTTAATGAATGTTCAGAAGAATTTTTCATTCATGTGCTTCTCGTCCGTGCTTGTTTACGTCAGAGTGCGCACGCGTCTTTCACGCAGCATACAGCGGTGTTGTGCATTTTGACCAGTTGATGGGGAAAGTATTCTTAAAATGCATTCAAAATTCTGAATAATTTTTTATATATAATTATTCACGGTATTTAGAAGTGCCCACGATAACAATATCGTGCATATTCATTACCGTGATATATCGCATTACCGAATACCGGCACAAGTCTACTGTCTACACCATAGATATATATACGATTATATACGACAATAGACAAGAGATTGTTTAAATGTTTAAAATAGACACTTTGAATTTGCAAAAAACATTAAATGCATTAATAAAACTTTTTTCAAATTAACACAGACAAATATTAAATTGATTCATGTTTAAAATGACAGTTAAATGTTATACATGAATACATCACTTTTCATATTCTTTAAATAGACATTTAAATTGTAAAAAAAATTTGAGTTAATTGTAACAGTAACATTTTAAATTGTTACATTTTCTAAAAAATAAAAAAAAAGCATTGCTTTTCTTAATCCATTTGGCAAATGCTCTTTCAAATGCTTTGCCACCACCTAGTAAAGTGTCAAAAACAAGCTGTGTCATTTCTCATATTACCGAATATGACTAACAAAATGACTCAGTTGGCAGTGTAAAATATAGTCTATGTGTAAAAGAATCCAATCCAGTTTAATAGACGAGTTTGGCTCATTGTTCACCCGTCTACATGGGTGAGACCCACTGGTGAGTCACTTAACATTCTGCCAATCTGCCAAACTGTGCTCTCTTATTGCCCCACGAGCATATGCCCAGCATTGCCGTCTTTGTTTGGCCCTGTTGGTATTTAGTGCTTTGGCACGTTATGCCATTTCTGCATCTTCAGTGAGTCACAGCTAGGGCCTTTGTAGGGAGTTCATGGTGGCAGATGTGTGCTGGATCCATCGGGGGGCAGCCTGACACTGAGCTCTGGCAGCATACAGCTGGGTCAGGTAGCCAGCATCTGTCTGCATGGAAAAAGAGTGCACAGCAATGCCAACTGTCACCACGAGAATCAGCACACACTGATGTCAGCAGGGTCGTCAAGAGTCGTAATCAAGCTCTAGTGTAGAAGAGACTGAGCTTTGCTAAAATGTCTGTGATTGGTCACAAAGTCAAGGTTATACTAATACACATGGTTAATGTTTTCTGCTAGATAAGCTCAAATGATACAGAAAACCCTGTCTTTTGTCATGGACTTGATTCATAAGTCTGCAGTTGGTTAGTAGGTGATAGATTGATTAAAATCAAACTTTAGGTTGTAAAATATGGCAAGCATGTACATTTGGCTCTGTGTGTCCTTTTAGTTTGTTCATGTTTGTGCGTGAGAGACTGATGAACTTTGAATCTTCTTTCAGGTCCTTTTATCTGCAGGTTTATAAGTTAGGCGGCCTTGAAATTTATAAGCCTTATGCTATTGTTTTCAGAGATTTTTTTCTTTGATATGAAACTGGAATGTCTCAATGAAGTATTTGGTTTTTAACCCCCCACCCCCGGCATCCCTCATTGTCCTGGCATTAAATCATTATAATTAGCAAGAACAATGTGGAATGTATAACAGAAAATTGCAAGCATTTGCAATCATGCAAATAGATCAGTTAACGTATTTTCAGTGGCAATATAGCAAATATAGCACTGATCCCAACTTTAGTTTACATGCAGCACAATTCAATTATAATATGCTTTTATTTTTAATTAATTATTTTTCAAGCAAGGACACATGAAATTAATCACAAATGATAGTGAAGACATTTAGAATTTTATAAAATTTCTATTTCAAATAAGTGTTGTTCTTTTGAACTTTCTATTCATCAAAGAAGCATAAAACAATGCATCATGATTTCTGCAAAAATATTAAGCAGCACAACTGTTTTCAACATTGATAATAATACAAAATATTTTTGAGCACCAGATCAGCATATTTGATTGATCTCTGAAAACTAGAGTAATAGCTGCTGAAAATGTAGCTTTGTTGTCGCAAAAAAGAAATTACATTTTTTAAATGCATTAAAATAGAAAAGTGGAAATTAAAATCTTAATTGAAATTACTGCTATTTTTACTGTATTTTACTGTATTGATCAAATTTCTGAATGTGACTAAGTGCAGAATGCAGAGTGATATGATGAGCGTTGGCATGTCTGTCTCCAGAGAGAGAATAAGCTTTTTAAACCTTCTCTGCTCTTCACAGGTTGGCTTCTTTCCCAGCGAGTGTGTGGAGCTGATAAACGACAAGGTCCCACAGTCTGTTACCAACTCGATGCCAAAACCAGGTACCACAAAACACACACGCATACCTCAAATCCTGCTGGGACAGCTCATCAGTTCCTCTGCACATGTCTGTATTAACCATCCCATAACAGCTTACTTCTACTGCAGGGCATTATAAACCACAGCAACCCAGCAAACATCATCAGGAAACTGAACGCAAGGTCACACTTGCTGTTCATACGCATTCAGATTTCTCCTGAGGCTGCTGGGCCTTTGAAAAGATGCAGGTTTTGGAAGGCTAGCTTGTTACTCACGTGTTGCAGTGAGATATTAATCATATTGGAGAGCGAGAGAGAGTGGATTGGAGCAAAGTGTATAAGAAGTGACGTGTTGAATCAGCCATGGATCGAGTCTGTGTGGTGTGTGTATTTGAGTGAACTGGAACAGGTGCTGACTGGAGACTCTGGGTCCTGTTGCATGAATCACAGATCTTCAAACCTCCATGAAGAGAAGACTACAAGCTGCTATTTGAAGTATTAGAGCCTGTCGTCCTTGGGAAGGGCACAGCTGCTTTTTAAGAAAGTGTCACTTCAGATTTCAACAATTTGGGTGTGAGACATGCAAGGTTTTCAGATTTCGAAGCACGTCGTCAACACACTGCATGGGAAATTTGTGGTTCACACCCAGTCTACATTCTTTTTTTTTTTCCCCTCCCTCCTCACGAAGGAACCCTTTGACCCTTTTCATTTATTACATTCATAGTTGAATCGGTGTTGCACAGTTGTTTGCTTTCCCTCATTTCACTCCTAATGGTTTGTTGGAGAGTGTGTATGTGCCTTTAATGTACATCACACACTGTGGCACAGAATGGTACGATTTATTCCCTCTATTTACAGAATATCTCACTGGCCGAGCACTAAAACGTCAAAAGAAACAACTTGATTAATAGAATCTCAAATGGACTGTTGCTAGCTTTCACAATCATAACATGAGCAATACATTTAGTCATATTTGGAGTGACTGTGGACCATGCGGACTGCTTTAAGAGAGGTCAGTTTACATCATAACTTGGACTGACAGGCCTGCCAAGCCGTCCGGAGACTTATCCATCACCTGCAGCCGTTTCTGTTTGGTTTTAGCCATTTTGTGTATCAAATCAATGCTTATTGGCATCCGCAGAGGGGTGAATCATTTTTATCATCATCATGACTCATCGGACCAATCAGAATGCTGGCTTGCAGTGGGTGGGTGGTAGGGCTCTGTGGTACACATTGTCTTGTAGGAGTAATAACATTGCAGAGGTGCAATGATGTGGCACAGCACAGCGTAATCAGCCCATAAAAAGAGCCCTGGGGCTCTTGGGCGTAATTACAGCAATGCTTTTTACCGTTTCATTATTAAGGCCAATGCAAGAAACAAATTAGGTACATTATTAGCTTTGACTATGCCGAAGCTTTTTGCTGGGGTTTATAATATTTTTCATTGCTTGTACATGTACTGACTCTGACACTGTATTTGGAATGTATGTTGCATTGCTTTGCAGTTTGCATGCATGTGTGATGTGTTCTTTGACCATGCTTCCTCCACTGCTCCCTCAGCGTCCCCCTGCTCTGGTCTGCGGCCGGCCTCCTGGAGTCTGTTCCCACCCTGTGCGTGCTGGTATACTCTCCCCAACGCCTCTCTTTTTGCCTTAAAGGGCTAGTTCACTCAGAAATAAATAATATGTCAACATGTGTTCACCTTTATGTTGTTCCAAACTCATATTACTTTTTTCTCCATGGAGCATGGATATTTTTTTTATTTTATTGTATTATTTTTTGTAGTATTTTTATTTTTTATTTCCTTTATTTTATTTTTGGTTATCTTCTTTTGTATATATATTTTTTTTTTTTTTTTTTGTATTGTGTGAGCTGGAAAGAGACTGGTTAGCATACCGGTTTGGAAAGACATAAGGCAAAGAAAATGCTGATCATTTCATTTTTGTGTTAGTCACACGCCCTCCATCTCCTGCTCTCTTTTTTTCACACGAACACGCATACACACACACACACACACACACACACACACACACACATACATTTTCTCACTATAATTTTTATCACACTTTCTCCCTGCATGCATAAGTTGTCCTTTGGCAGTATTTCTCTTGCATTGCAGTTTAGAGCACTCTTATCCATGTTAGTCTAGTGTTTGTCTTCACATGCATTTTACTGCACCGTCTTGTTTATTATCATTTATAGCAGCTTCAGAACTGTTGTGAAACTTTCCCAATGGCCAGGAAATGTGGAGTGAGGGGGGAAACTCTCCTGAAAGACTTCTAAGCTAATAGAGCTGCATGTGCAGCTGTTGTTCTCATGTTCTCTAACTGGGTCCCTCCCTCCCTCTCCCCTTATCTCCTCCCGGTATGCAGATTTGGAGATGGAGAGTGTAAAGCAGGACAGTGCATGGGCACCCGACCCATTAAACCCCTACAGGCTGAGCTCAGGTAGACCAAACCGTTTATCCATGTACTACGTCTAACACGGACTAACCCTGAACTCTCCTGTGCATCTCCGCACAGTCGCCTGCTGCTCACGGGTGCTCTGAACACAACTGGCACTCTGTACCTTTAGAATGTAGTTTCACTGGTCTTTCCTAACACCACGTGTTAACTATATGAAGATTTGATGCAAGCACAACAAATATAGTCTTGTTTTTCACTTAACACTCTTCTGGTGTCTCTAGTATGTGACTTTGACCCTTGTCTTACAGATTTACCCTGATAGCACTTTCTCTCTCTTTTGACCTGCATTTGAATGCATGTTACTGTTTAACAATGTTTTTGCATATTATTTTACTGTAATACTGCCGAATTGTCTCTTTTTGTAGAGATGCATGATGTGTAGTGACTATATCGGCTGTTGAACAATATTTAATTGTTCATGCTTCTTTTCCACTATTTTTACGTTTAGATTACCTTTGCCGTCATTAAATGCTAATTTGATTAATTTATAAGAAGGTTTTTTATTTAAGTATGGAATTTTAATGCCATTTATCAGTTATCAGCCATAATATGGAAATATTGGCCAATGTTGTATATTTCACTGTGCATACTCCTTATCCCTATCGTTACATTTAGATGATCTTTGCCATCAATAAACAGGCACTTAAAATTGATCTAAAATTAATGTTATTAATCAAAATGTAATAATAAAAATCAATTTTCATACTGTGCACTATAATGTCTAAAATCATGAATCATTTAAATTGATTGATTTTAGTTTTTAGTGTTTAATTTGTAATTTATGTAGAGAAAATAGAATAGGATTTTATTGTCTGTTATTTATTGCTTGTCATCCATAACATAAATTCTAGTCAATACTGATAATTGTATTAATATCATTGCGTCTCTACTTCTTTGACTGTGTCAACACTTAATGTGTCTGTATTTGAAATGAAGCTTGTGACGTCAGTTTATGGCACCGTTCCACCGCTCTTTAAAGTGCACCAGAAAGCCCTATTGTCAAGTTATTTTGCAACACACTCCTGGGCTGATTTACATGACCCTGTTTAGGAAAGGCTATAAAATAATCCCATCTTTGTTCACTGACAATATGAACTACAGTCTCTCCATGGTGACTCAAACACATTCTTGTGTACTGCCTTTGTACAAGCTCAAATAGGCTACAACATACCTCTCTGCTCCCCTGCAGAGCTTTAGCCAAGCAGCAAGCGCCTATCAGATGACACAAAATACCTTATGAATCATTCACCTCATTAAGCAAATTCCCCATGTAAATGGTTAACCACATAATGTCCTATCATGCAGGTGGTGTAACAGTGATAAAGGTTACTGTAATATTTTATTTACCAAGGTTTTCAAGCATTAATCGGACATATTGTATGTTATGAAAATGCCTGAAGTATAATAATTTCTTGTTCTTTGATGTTCACAGACTAAATTGCATTTATTTCATTCCCTTATTCTCAGCTGTAGCAGGTGCTGCTCCAGATGTAGCTCCCTTAGCTCCCTCTCACTTCCTAACTTCCTTGTGGGGCAACAATGTCTTCCTCTCAGTGGAGTAAAGGGCAGCTGCCTCTGTGAACAAGCCAAGACAGCTGGAAGGAACTGTGAGAGAATGAGAGACAAACTGTATTAGGTTTACATAGCAATATGTGTCCGTTTGTCCTACAGGGGATTGTGTACTTCCTTACTGGTCTGTTCTGAAAGCAGAGACTTTTATGTGAACTTCTGTTAGCTGTTGGGTTGGGAAACAAGTTTATTGGTGTTTGTTGTACTCGTGCACATTCCTACTAACTCTCATAATGGTTTTAGTGTTTTTGTTTTATTAGTAGTAGTAGTAGTAGTATCATTATGTATAGACACTACCTTTAGAAAGTTTGGGGTCAGTATGATTAATACTGTAATTTAACAACGATGCATTAATGTTCAAAAGTGACAGTAAAGACATTTCTAAAGTTGCAACTTTTTATTTATAAATGTTTTTACTTTTATTGTCCATTTAACACCAGCGTTACCTTGCAAAACACGTATCTGTGTGTTGTTTGACAGTTTGGCCACAAACCTGTTGCTTTAGAGTGCAGACAAGCTTGTCTTTGTCAGTTCCTTATGGCTGTACCATGTCAGTCTGGGTTGTAAAAGCTGAATGGAACATGGGCTTGGCTAAGAATGGATTTCTTTAGAAAGAGTGCATTGTTGTTGCCCTGGTGGTGTAGTCGAATGAGTTATATTTATGTTTGTCTGGCTTCTTGATTTGTTGTAGTTTTACTAAGTCGTATTTAAGCTGTAGCCTAAATAGAACATCACAGGAGACAGCTGTGTTGTATTGCCATTGTCTTTCAAAGCACATTCATCACTCGATAGTGGATATCTGATAAATGCAACAGCCTGCAGGCTGAAACTGTCGCTCTTTGGGTTGCCTGGCTGCTCACGCCCCGATCTCTGCAGTTAGAAGCCAGCGCTGTTGAAAGTTGATATTAGGGGCTGGACAAATCCTGAGAGGAAAGAGAGGAGGGAAAAAGCAAAGAGGAAAGAATGCATGCTGACTATTAGCTTTTACCGGCTGGCAGGGAGAGTGAGAGAGAGAGAGTGCGGTCTGTGATGATCCTTCACCGTCGTGTCTTGAGCTCTCTACCTCAGCTGCAGCCTGGCAAACTTTAGAATACTCAAGTATTTCACATTGAGGTAAGTTATGAAGTTGCAGTTTTAGTGCTAATAAAATTGCTAAACTATCTCAGACTTGTAGATTCGACTGAAGTGCTTTCTATTGGCAGATTTGTGTGTGGTTTATTCATTTGTAGTGCTGAAAACAATAGCATTTTAAATGTGTGCGCACTGTTAATTTGCGATAAATGCATTTTGTCTTTTGTTTTCTAATCACCTTTCTCTGTAGATTTTGTATGTGCTGATGTGTGTAGTAAAGTCATATTTGTGTTTTCTTAAAAATTCATTTTTAGCAAGTCATCGGAACTCACGTTCTGAGTGTCGATTTGGAGGGAAAAAAAGAAAAACGTATAATGTTTCAGTCACGTTGCGCTGTAACGTCATCAGTGTCTCCTCAGCGGAGGTAAAGTGCAGCCTGGAGGAAACACTCGTTCTTCAGTATCACACACAGTCTTCTTGCCGCTTCTGTGAAGTTCAGCACATGCCCGGTGTTTGGTTTGTTGTGGAGTTTAAAATAAGAGGTTCTGTGAAATGTGTGCCAGTTACTTTATTGGCTCTTGAAAAGTAGAACAGGAAATTCCTACAATGGCTCTTTTTATTATTAACCTCGACTGGATATGAGAGGATTAATTGCATCGAGACCAGCTGCAACCGCTTGTTGGAAAAATTTTGATAACTTTTATGATGAAAAATTGTGAGTAATGTGCCTTTTTAAAAGGTAAAGACACAAAGGAACAGATGAGATCACAGCTGGCAGATGTCCCCTTGCCACGTCCACTGTGGTTTCAGCATGCAAAGAATCACACATCCTTAAAATCACCAGGGAGTTAAACTGTTAAACAATAGTGTAATATTTGCAATTTTGCTAATTATTTTTACTCCGTCTCCTGCTAAATCCACCACATGTGCCCACAAACATAAACACAGATGGACCAGTTTGTGGTTTTCAGGAATCCCAGCTGCATTTCTAATAGCTCTGAAATTGTTTCCGGCAATAGATTGTTTGCTGATTCATATAGCTTCATTATGCAAACAGTTATTTGGTTTGTAATATTTAAGCTTGCTAGTATTTTATGAGGAACATCAGAACAATCCAAGTTAAATGAGCAATTAGGTCTCAGGGTTTTCTAGCAAATTCAGTGGAATTATTTTGGTGCGTTTGTGTATTCCCATCAAATCCTTGGAATTTCTCTCTTGATACTTTTCCTCTGAACCGTCCAAGAGTCTCTCATGCAAATTCTAGGTCAGGCTGCTGATTTTTTACATTTATTTAAATTTATTTTTTTGGGCATGGTGGTTAGTGTCAGGGTGTAATAACAACGCAAGCTGCTCCGGAGACCAAACAGCTTGAGACGTCCTTCCTGCTTGGCCTCCTTCAAAAATGAAATGAAAGGAAACATTTATTACTTTCATGAAGACTTTCACAGATGTTGTATGTCAGCCACTCATCTTCAGGCTTTCTTCTTCCAATGCTGAGATTAGATTAAACTTGTAAAGTCATTCATAGTTGATTTATATGCTACTGTAATTGCCTCTGTAACAGTTGCATTGATCCACAGAGAATAAAGTGGTTTGATTTTGCTCTACCAAAAGTAGAACAAACACCCAAAGATGGAGGATGTACTTCCCTCAGAGGAATTTGGTGAATTAATAATTCTGCTTGGCTGACGAAACAGCCCTTTATGATCTAGGTTATTTAAGCAACACTTCCAATGGACGATTTGGGAAATTCCTTCAGTAAAGGAACAGGGTTAATGCCTAAACCCATTATTCTTACACAACCAAGTGCCTTTGCTTTTTTATTTCATAAGATCTTGGTTCACTGATATGATGTGGCTGGCACTGGCCTGTTGGTAAACCGGATTTTCTTGGGGTCATTTGTTGTTGCGCTGCTTGTGATTCACAGTGCAGTTTTCCCTGATGTGAAAATATTATATAAATTTGTATGTCTTTATTTTTTATCTTCCAGTGTCCAAGAAACACGGGAAACTGATCACTTTTCTGCGCACATTCATGAAGTCCAGGCCGACCAAGCAGAAGCTGAAGCAAAGAGGTATCCTCAGGGAGAGGGTGTTTGGCTGTGACCTAGGAGAACATCTCCTCAACTCCGGCCATGACGGTGAGCTTTGCCCCCTTCTGGTCCTACTCAAACTTACGCTCATGCTCCAGACAGTGCTTGACACTAATGTGACACAGTGTGGGTGGGCTGGAAAGCATAGCTAACCCCCCCTCCTCTAGAATCACCGTTGGATCTGGCTGCATAGGTTGTCATGGCATCTGATTGGCTTAAAGCGGTCTAAAGGTCAGGAGGAATGGTTAGGGGGCCGTGTCTGGAGATTTCTTCCCCATTGAATCAAAGCTCCCTGGCAGCCTTCATCATTTGCTCCATTTGTTTGACTTCAAATCCTCCCTGACCCATTGCCTGCCCTTAAAATCTAAGCCTTGTCCTTTTCAAAGGGGATCCACGCAACTTGATACGACTGCTCGACCATTACATTTAGAAGGAGGGGGAAAAAAACCCCATTGCTTTTATTAAATGTTTCAGAATGGACATTCTTTTCCTCAGGAGCAAGTATCCTCAAAGCAGAAATTCCTGGTATTCTTTAAAAATGTCTTTCTACAAAAGGTCATCTATTGTAGTTGGTTAGATAGATGATAAAGTTTAGGTTTACTACCTAGATCTGAACCTTCCGCTCCCTTCACTGTCCTCTCCCACCCATGAGCCCACTCAGCTTTAATGTGTTTGTAAAACGGGTAATGGCAGAATGTGTACTCTCCGTTTCAGACACTCTGATCTCAGAGGAACGTGAGACGACATGGCTAAACACTTTGTTCAAGTAGACAGTCATTAGTATGGCTCAGTCATATTAACATAAAGCTCTGCAGACCTCCCTGCAATGCACTTATTATACTCTTGGACAGTATTTCGCTGGGAACAAAATGCATTAATCCAGTTTTTCTCTTTCTCAGTTGGTGCCATAAGGATTTTGGCCTCTGAAGTAATTTGCTGTATTTTTCAAAGTATTGAAAGGGCTCAAAAAGGTTCTGCTGACCAAATTGAGCCAGTAGTTTTATTGTTGCTCTGTTGATGATTGAGCCAGTAGTTTTATTGTTGCTCTGTTGATGTTTCCATTGGCTCCACTGCCTCTTTTTTTTTTTTTTTTTTGGCAAAAAAATACTTCCATTCAAAAGTGGAGGGTCATATCGGCGCCAATAGCCTCGTGGTTAGTGCGTCGACATATAGCGCAACTGCGCTCACGGCGACCCGAGTTTGATTCCTGTCTCGAGATCTTTTGCCGATCCCGCTCCCCTCTCTCCTCCCAGTAATTTCCTGTTGTCTCTCTACTGTCCTATATGAATAAAAAGGCATAAAAATAACTACAAAAAAAGTAGAGGGTCATTAAGATTTTAAGAAAATAATCCTTTTAGTCATCCAGGATGTATTAAATTGAATCAGAAGTGAGACTAAAGACATTTATATTGTAAACAGTTATTGAATAATATTGAATATTTCAATATTATAATAAATTCTGTGCTTTTGAACTTTTAACCAAAACTGAAAGAAAAAAAAATATTAAGCACCACAACTATTTTCAACATCTATAATAAGAAATGTGACACTGAAGACTGGAGTAATGGCTACTGAAAATTCAGCTTTGCCATCACAGGAGCATATTGAATTTTTGTGACCCTGGACCACAAAATCAGTCATGTGGGTACATTTTTTAAAAGTGCCCCTATTATGGGTAATGAAAGGTTCATATTTTGTTTTTGGGAGTCTGCAACAACAGGTTGACATGCATGTAAGGTCAAAAAACACTTTCATTGTCTTATAATATGCATTTATTTTTACCTTACTTGCTCAACGACTCCCAGCCGATTCGCTCAATGATTCATTTTTCCAAACCCCTCCTTTGCGTGATGCTAATCTGTGGTGATTGGTCCGGTTTTATTGCATCATGCCTGTAATGCCTGATAAAGCAGCATTTGTGAGTGCAGTGCTGCTTTGTGTACAGCGTTACCGGGGAAACCGCTATTATTACCGCTCCAAAAGTGGCACCTAGTGGCAAAGAATGAATTAGCATTTTCATTCAGACCAATGCTTAAAGACCAAGTGGGCGGGCAATATGCTAATGTTTCATGTTGACATCAACATGAAACGGCTTGGAATTAGTTTTAAAAACGACTCGTTTCAATGATTCAGAGTCAACTCTTTCTTTTGAGAGAGTTAAGTTTATACACGGTGCACTTTCAGATTTAAAACTTTGCAGGATGTTTTCATTCACTTAGAGCTGTGTTACACACTGCATGAAAGGTCACAAAACAAGTCCCATAATAGGGGCACTTTAATTTGAGATTTATACATTATATGAAAGCTGAATAAATAAGCTTTCCATTGATATACAACTACCGAGATATAACTATTTGAACATCTGGAATCTAAGGGTGCAAAAAAAACCATCTAAATATTGAGAAAATTGCATTTAAAGTTATGAAGCATTATAAAGTTAAGTTCTTAGCAATGCATATTACTAATCAAAAATTTACTTTTGATATATTTATGGAAGGAAATTTACAAAATATATTTTTTGGTATTAAACATGATCTTTACTTAATGATTTTTGGCATAAAAGAAAAATCGATAATTTTGATCCATACAATGTATTGTTGGCTATTGCTACAAATACACCCCAGCGACTTAACACTGCTTTTGTGCTCCATGATGTATGGTTTATAGGACCATATTTGGCCGAGATACAACTATTTGAAAATCTGGAATCTGAGAGTGCAAAAAAATTGCCAATAAAGTTGTCCAAATCAAGTCCTTAGCAATGCATATTACTAATCAAAAATTTACTTTTGATATATTTATGGAAGGAAATTTACAAAATATATTTTTTGGTATTAAACATGATCTTTACTTAATGATTTTTGGCATAAAAGAAAAATCGATAATTTTGATCCATACAATGTATTGTTTGCAATTGCTACAAATATACCCGTGCTACTTATGACTGGTCACAGATAACAGATATTAAAATAGCAAACTGTTATTTAAAATTTTAATAATGTATTACAATAGTACTATTTCTACTCTTATTTGTTTATGAAATAATTGCAAACTTGGTAGGTTCAAGAGACTTTTTTTCAAAAACTTTAAAAACCTTACTGACCCCAAACATTTGAATGGTTCTGTATTTGTTATATTGTTGTCTTTACAGCAAATTACTAGGTTTTACATAAACAACTGGAAAATATCCAGCTATAATTTACCTCGATGATAGTTGTAAAATTATAAACACTTTTGCAGGAAAAAAAAGATTGTGATTTGTTTGTCATTTTCAAACTATTCTGACCGATGCTTCCAAGAATGTTACGAATCATTCTCAGTTTTGACAATTTATCTATATTTCCCAGCTAAAAAGCTTTAGCTTGAAGACATAAAGAATGTATTACTGGCCTTATAGGGCAAGTGACAGCTCCTTTAACTGGCCTGAAACACACTCACAGTGGCCACAGGCCATCCTTATTGTGAAGCGCTGATTGAATGATTTTTGAGATGGCTTAGAGACAAAACTTTCTTGCATTTTTGAGGATTTTGTGCTTCAGACAGCTATGTCAGGAATGTAGATGAACAGCTGCCTCTGAGAGACTTGGACTCACTCATCTGCCGGATAAAGTTTGTCAAGACTAGAGGCCATTTAGGGTTGTCTGTGACTATGATTCCTCTGGGTGAAACATCGCAAGGTCAAGGTGGAGGTCTGGAGTTTGTCTAATGCCACTGGAGCAAATGTGAAGCTATAAACTCTGCCATACAGGAGAGCACGGACTTGTTATCTGATGATCAGGCTTGTCTCCGGCAGTTGTTGAAGTTATTTATAGCTTACAAAATCTGAAATTTACTGCACAAAGAATCTGGCATTCTATTCCATTGGCATTTTGACAAGTCTCACACTTTACGTGCCAAAAAGGATGCTCCAGTAACATTTTGTCTAAACCTCTAGTCCCCCAGGTACTCAAGAGCTGCACTGAGTTCATTGAGAAGCATGGAGTGGTTGATGGAATGTACCGTCTCTCTGGGATTGCCTCCAACATTCAGAAGCTGCGGTAGGACATAAACACACTCCCCTAATTGCAAGTAGCAGAGATAGGGATTTATCATACCGCTTGAGAATCTCTGAATGCAGTGGCTGAATATTAAGCTGCTGCTAATTACATTTCATAATGGGAATGTTTGTATTCTTGAATACAGGAGGAAATGAGTACACCAGAGTGATTAGATGGGGGTTTATTACTGGGTCCAGGACAAGTTGACTTGTTTGCTTGGCCGATTAACAAGTTTTCTCTCCCCCTTGAGTTCCTACATGTAGTTTTGTCAGTGGATAAATTTAAAACTATAAAGCTATAATAAATATTTTTAGCAATTTTATTTTTTACTTGTGTAAATTGTTAAATATTACACTGTCGTTCCAGTCTGTGGTTCGTTCTGATTTCCTTTTTTTTTCTGTTTTTTTTTTTCTTCTTTTTTAAGTTTTTGAAAGAAATTTCTAATACTCTCCAAGGCTGCATTAATTTGATCAAAACTACAGTAAAAACAGTACTATTGCGAATTATTATCATTATTGCAATTTAAAATAATTGTTTTCCATTTTTCATGTTAAAATGCAGCAATTGATTCATTGTCACTTGATCCTTAAGAAATCATTCTAATATGCTGATTTGGCACTCAATCAAACATTTCCTATTTTATTGTTGAAAACATGTTCTGCTTAATATTTTTGTGGAAGCTTTGACATTTTCTTCAGGATTCTTTGATGAATAGGAAGTTCAAAAGAATAGCATTTATTTGTAACATTATAAATGTATTTACTGTGACTTTGATCAGTTTAATGCATCCTTGCTAAATAAAAGAATTAACTTCTTCATCGGCACCGACCATTGGAAACCGATATTTGTTGTCAATTCCTTCAAATGTTGATATTCAAAGCTAATGTTATTTAATCAGAATTTACTTCAATTTAGGTTTAAGGCACACCAAATTGTCTACGATACTGTATCAAGCCTAAAACACGTTCTTTCTTTCTCACTTTAGGCATGAATTTGACTCTGAACAGATCCCAGATCTGACAAAAGATGTTTACATTCAAGACATACACTGCGTGGGCTCCCTGTGCAAGCTTTACTTTCGAGAGCTTCCCAACCCACTTCTCACCTACCAGCTGTATGAAAAATTCTCGGTAAGCGTTTATCCCAGAACGACAGGCCTTTAAAGAGTCTTTTCTCAAACTCACACACTCTTTGTCATACAAATAGCTCCAGCTGAGCGTACCTATTATATTAGAACAAGCAGCCCATACTTATACTGATATCAAAACCTTTTTAGTTCTTGGTGTGATAATATGCGTGGGTCTCTTATCTGAGACTGGCAAAACAGCGCAGGAGTCATTGAAGGCTTGAGGCTATTCGTTCTATTGATTGCTTTTAATGAGTATACAAAATGAATTGCTTGTCTCTTAAGAGCCCTGCTTCACAAGGAGTTAATCTGCATGCTAAACAAAGCAGTGACATTTACAGCATCTGGAGATAAGTCGCTGCAAATGAAAACGGCTAGAGTAAAGAGTGCATCAATGTTTTCAGGTTGCTATGGAAGCAGTGAAACTATAATGCCCAGGAAATGCGATTGACCATGTGCTTTTGTCCACTCAGCAGTATAGTGTGAACCTGGGTTTGAGAGTGTTTTTGTTGGTTAGAGCTGCTCTAGATGCAGTGACCCTGATTTACACCCGCTCTTCTCCTTTTTAGGAGGCTGTGTCAGCAGCCACTGACGAGGAGAGGCTGGTCAAAATACATGATGTCATTCAGCAGCTGCCGCCTCCGCATTATAGGTTTGTAAATGACCACAGTGCCCTCTGCTGGTTGCTAGAAGACTTGCAGTTCTCTTTTCAACAGCGATATTTTTCATACGTAACAGCCTTTTTATCAATCTACTGCATTAAGCATACTATTTATATTACTAATGCAGTCCAAGTAGGTTATGACTGAGGAAAATAGAGGCTGTTATTACAACATTGTTCACTTAAATGAGTGTGATTCTGAATCTAATCCATTATGCTAATTTTACTTGGCGTCTGATTTTAATGCATCTGTAGTTTAAACATTCAATATTTATGCTTCTCTTGTAGGACTCTTGAATTTCTTATGAGGCATCTTTCACACTTAGCAACCTTCAGCTATGTAACAAACATGCATACGAAGAATTTGGCCATCGTTTGGGCCCCCAACTTATTGAGGTAAGATCTCTGCATGATGCAACTGTAATGTATGTGAAAACAGATAGGCTACTCGTGGATGCAATTTTACAGAGCTGGGTAGATTACTTACAAATTGTAACAAAAACTGTAGATAGTAACATAATCCATTACATTACACATTTTAGATAATATAATAAGACTACTTTGATTACTTTTGACCTAACTCGTTTATCACATTGATTTTAATAGGATAATCTTGTACCATATCGATATAAAAATGCAAAGAAAAAGAAAATATATTCCATTTGTCAACATGAAGTGCATTAAACATTACTTTACATTATCAAGGTTTCCCAAACTGAGGTTCGTCAAGGGGGTTGTAAGTTTAGTAAAAAGCAAATAATTAATTAAATCATAAAAATGTAAAATCATTTTAAAATAACATCAATCAAAATAAAAAATTTAAATGTTTTATTTGTTTACCTGCATGTCATGTGACCATTAACCAACGTTAGAGAACTGTGAACATGCAAATATGATACCTAATTATTAAAATATTTATTTTAAAATCTTAGGGGTACTTTAATATATTACAAGAAAGAGTTTGGGAATTCTTGCATTACATGTAAATAAAAAATACTGTGAATTTGTTCATTTTAAAGGGGTCCTATAATGCTAATTTACAAAGTCTTGATTTTGTTTTGGGGGTGTACTAGAACAGACTCTCGTTGATCTTTGTGATATCACAAATCCCGGAAAATATGCGTTGTAGTCCAAACGAGTCGTTCGTTGTAGTTTTTGAAAAGTGATTTCTGTTAAATAAAATATCTCTTTTTGAATTGGACTTTGAGCTTTGTAACTTTGCAGATCTTTTTTTATGCTCAAACAGCAGCAACATTACAGACTAACTAAAGTTGAAAAAGTGAAAAGGCATAATAGGACCCCTTTAATGTGTTTGAAAGACAAAAGCCTTCCAAAACAAAGTAATACAGGATTAAATAACCCTCTGAGTGATAATTCAAATAAGAATTAATGTGCTCATCAGTAGTTAATGTAATGTTGAAATGCTAAGAAAACACTTCTTGAAACTGAAATGATTTTTGTAAATCCAGTGGTCAAATGCTGTGTGGCTGACTGCAAAACGTCCGCAAAACTGGAAGACTTTCTGACTATATATAAGTGGTAGACTATTTTAGAAAAGAACATTTAAAAGAGGAAAAATAAGAATTGGGGAGAATCAATAAATTATGAATAATTTATTACTATTGAGTGAATAATATTTAATCAATAAAAAGTATTTTAAAATGTAATTTAATCTAATTACAAGTATTCAATTTATGGAATCTGATTACATAATCCAGATTACATGTAATCAGTTACTACCCAGGGGTGCGCTTCCTAAAAGCAACTACAACCATAGGTAGCTAACAAACAATGCTTTTGGGAAATGCATCCCAGCTGTGCAATTTTATAACTATGAATATAAAAACCTAGTATTCATAACTAATCTTTGATTTTTATTTCCAACTAAAAAGGTCAAAGCAAATAGAATCAGCTTGCTTCAGCGGCACAGCAGCCTTCATGGAGGTGCGAATACAGTCGGTTGTGGTGGAGTTCATCCTCAACCATGTGGATGTTCTCTTCAGCCCCAAACTGAGCTCACTCATACGAGAGGGAACAGGTATGCAATATGGACAGATTTCAACATATTTTTAATATTTTTGCGCTTCTATATATTCATCACACATTTTTTGTCTTTGTAGGACACAACTCTTTGTCTCGGCCTAAATCTTTGCTGGTACCCTCTCCATCCACAAAGCTGCTAACACTAGAAGAGGCACAGGCACGTACCCAGGCCCAGATCAACTCACCCATCACTGCAGACAGCAAGTACATAGAGGTGGGAGAGGGTCCTGCTGCCTTACAGGGAAAATTCCACACGGTCATTGAATTCCCTACTGAGAGGTATAAAGTGAGCTTTAAAATGTTGTGATTTTTTTTTATGCTGTCATAAAGAAACGAATTATGTGCCTGTTATTCTCAAAGTGATACATTTTGTACATTTTATTTATTTTTTCTCCTAGGAAAAGACAGCCAATAAAGTCTAAAAGGTCTCCAGTTGGCAGTTGGCGGTCTTTTTTCAACTTGGGCAAGTCTTCCTCAATGTCGAAAAGAAAACTACCCCGCAATCCCAGTGAACCAAATGAACTCAAGGCCATGGCATTGGCTGGTTAGTGTTGTGCCATTTTGTCGTCTTTAAATGTTAGATAGTCATTAACACAAAATAAACCCAGTGGTTAATCAGGCCTTGTATCATGTGGAAGTGGTTTATTTTGCAGTAATGACCAGCTGATTGTATATTACCCTGCTAATTACTCGGGTATTTACTGAATAAATAAATAAATGGACATGAAATATTGATTTTAGTTTAAATGATTTTATTATGTGAGAGACTGCAGAGTATTTACGAGAGACAACAACAACATCTGACCACAGATCAATCAGACCACAGACCAATCAGAGTCAAGTATTCTAGAACTCTGTTTGGTTTTGTATAAGCGATTTATTATAGCTACTCTGTTCCCACCTTATTTGCTCAGGAGGAAGAGGAGACACCGGTACTCTTCGGTCTGCCAAAAGTGAGGAGTCTCTCACCTCTTTACATAATGTTGAAGGTAACAGACTCTTAAAGCTCTAAAAAAAGCTCAGCCTCAACTTGTAAACCAGCCATTGTGAAATTTTGACTTTTCTGCTTTTCCTTTAACACAGGAGAGTCTAAGGTGTACAGGCCACGCAGACCTCGCTCCAGCAGCGATGCTCTCTCTGCTTCCTTCAATGGTGACCTGCTGGATAGCAGACAACACTGTAACTCATATGACAACCTGGGCCAAGGGGACAGTGATGGGGATGATGGACCAATCTGTGTGCCTGCTCTCATCTCCCCGCCACGTTCCACTGACGATGTGGACCTGAGCCCCCCTGACATTGGCATGGCCTCTTTAGACTTTGACCCCATGTCTTTCCAGTGTAGCCTTCCTCTGGCAGAGACTTCCATTTTCTCACTTGACACAGATGAAAGCAGTCTGAAGAGGAGCCCGGGCAGTGCCAGTGGCTCAGAGCCAGCCTTGCCAGTCAGAGCTAAAGTTACGAGTCATTCTGTGTCTCCAGACCACAGTCCAGCCTTAAAGGATAGAAATAAACTGCCCCCTGCATCTTTCTCAGAGAAAACTCCAGTTCAATCCCTTGAGAGCAGTGAGAAGTCTGCTGTTGTGACTCTAAGTGTCTCTGAATCGGCTGCCTCCATGATAGGGAAAGCACCAGAGAGCACTGTGCTTCAGCCCTCTTCCCCTCCATCTCCACTCGACTCTCCTGCAAAATTGAGCTCTCTGTCAAGAACCACCGATCTGCCCCTGAGTGAAGCCATTCAACAAGAGCTTCTTTCTAAAGCTGCTACCTTTGAGAGTAAAGACATATCAAGCATTGAATGTTCACAGCCACCACAGGTCACCTGCTCTCAAGAGCAGCCAGGTAAGCTGAACTGAAATACAGGGATAAGGTAGCTTAAATCCATAATGTTTCTTGAGGAGTCATTGACATTTTTATCCTAAATTAGTTTAATTCTCCTTTTCTAGAATGAGAATGTTTTTAATTCCTGTATTAAAATTAATTAGTAAAATGACAGGGTGAAACAGCTGTCCTGATATCATTTTATAAAAGATTTTTCAAAAATATTTGAAACAAACACGAATACAGAGAGTACATTAAGAACTTAGACAATAGATTTTTGAAAGGTTTTTTTATTTCATTGTAAACACCGTCATTAACCCTGATGCCACTGTGATATGAACCTCCAAGGTATGCTGGGTTTCATAAGATAATTAATTGATTTTTCAGGTTTAGTTCACCAGACTTTTACCAGTAGCGCTTTGCACAAACACCCTCAATGTAGAGAAATCTGTCCACAGTCTGTAGAAATTTAACATTTCCCTATCTTACCTTCTCATGAATATTAGCCTGCTTTCTCCTTGTTTGAGTTCCCTCTGTTTTGTCCATCCATAGGAGCCGTAGCTCTGGACTCACCAAAGGGCAATGTCCCTGTCAGCTCTGTGTCCCTCATACCCCCCCCCCCCCCACCAAAGAACGCTGCCCGCATGCTTGCACTAGCTCTAGCTGAATCTGCCCAGCAGGCCACTATTCTCTCTCGGAGGCAATCCTCTGGACCCCCTACACCAGTGTCCCCCGTTAAGCCACAAGAGTTACAGGAGACCATGGACTGGCCTCTTCCTCCTTCCTTGCCATCACAGCCATCCTTGGAGGAAGCTGCAGTCGAAGCATCAAAGAGATCTGCTCCTACATCTTCACCACCCTCCACCCCAACTGAAAAGTTAACTCGCTCCGCCAGTCTGCACCTCAACACAGCTGAGAGCGGGAAGCCATCCAGCATTTCTTGCAATAGCCAGGATGTTATCTCACCAGAGACCTCAAGCCAGAGTGCTATGCCTTCTAGTCAACCTATTCAAGTTTCCCAAACACAAAAAAGCCCAGAAAGGCAGCAGCCAGCTGTGGGCCAGACACCTGTGAGCACAAACAAAACCACTACCACAATCACCAGACCAGCTATCAGCAGCAAGGATACTGTCATTCAACAACCCAGCTCTGAGGTAAGCAGTGGCACATGCAGGGATGTCAGTAGCACTAGTACTTCAGTGCCAAAGCTGAACGTTAAGTAGTGTTATAAATAGTGCTGTTAAACGATTAATCACAATTAATTGCATCCAAAATAAAAGTTTTTGTTGACATAATATGAGTGTGCACTGTGTATATTTATTATGTATACAGTATATAAATACAAACACATGCATGTGTATATTTAAGAAAAATGTTTATATATTATATATATTTATATAATAATGTATATACATGTAAATATTTTCAAAATATATACAGTATGTGTGTGTGTGTGTGTGTGTGTGTATTTATATATACATAATAAACACAGTACACATACATATATCACGTAACATGTAAAACTTTTATTTTAAATGCGATTAATCGCGATTAATCGTTTGACAGCACTAGTTATAAATATTCATGAGCCAAACATTCACCATTGTAAATTCTAAATTAGAAAAGCATGTTAAGCATTAGTGCTACTAGTTGTTAGATCAAAAGCTGCCTGCCATTGTTTTTATTTCATTTGTTAGTATTTATGTGAACCTTTAGAGTAGAGACTTGCGCGGGATGGATTTTTCAGTCCAGCTCCTGCCTGCTCCCACAAGATTCTGTCCCGCGCCCGCCTGCTCCCGCAGAAAAATATCTTATCTGTGCCCGCTCCCGCCCGTGACATTCATGTTTTGTCCCACTCCTGCCCGCAAAAGCCCGCATAAAAGTAATCTATATAGATTTTATTTCAGCATATCAAAGAAATTTACATTAAATGGTTCTGTAACATCTCCTAAGATCCACAACATCCCAGCATACATGCTCCCGATAAAATATTTGTTATTTAGGCTAAGCATCAACATTCACAAACCACTGTTATTTTAACAGAAAAGCAAGTATGAGCTGCTGCGTGCATGGTTTGACATGGCAGAATGCGAGCAGCGCTTCCTTTATTATCACTAAAAGCTGACATCTCAGTTCATTGCGATCTCATAAAGCTCTGTTATAATACAATGAACATATGCATAATGAATCTTTCACAATGTCTACACTTCGTGTGCTAAAATGAGACGATTCGTGTGCACGCAATTTCAGCACTGCGGTGAGTGGATTCTAACTTAATCACCTCTGGTTGGCCATTGTGTTCCAGAAATCAACAGCTCAGTCTGTGATTGGCAACATTGCGCAACCCTTTAAACACGCGTTATAAATAGAAACTCTGCCTAGCTTGCGCGTGTTAATCATTTTAATGTTATTAGTTGTTCTTTTTGATTTTGTGCAACACATAAATAGCAATTTATGTTTTAGACATTTTATGTTTAGATAATTTCTATTTTGCGAGAGTCCCACAAATCATTTTATTCTCCCGCATCCCACACACACACGAGTCTCTTCCCGCCCGCACTCGCCCATCAAGAGTTGTCCCGTGCCGCACCCTGTTGCGTTGGGTCCCGCGGTACTCCCGCGGGAGTGCAGGTCTCTACTTTAGAGTGCATGTTTTTGCATGTTGTGTGATTATTTCACCTTTGTCATATTGCAACAAAATTAGTATCAAAATTAAAAAATGATTAATCTGGTAATGATATCAATAATTAAAATTACAGCGCATGTAAATACAAAAAGGGAAATATAAGAAACCTAACAGTGTTTGTTTGGGCTTAATCCCTAGATCCATATGACTGAAATGGTTATGCCACCAAAACCCATAAAGACACCAGATCAGCCAGTCGCAATTCTTCAGCCTCAGCCACAAATACAGACTCAACCTCATGCAGCCATTCGGTCTCAACCTCAAGTTCAGCCTCATTCTCAGTCACAAGCACAGCCGCAGTTTCAGCCCAAATCGCAGCCCAATGCTAGAGTTGCACCAACCCCCGCAGCACCTCTTGATCCTGTGGAAAAACCATGGGAAGCCATAAAGCCTATCCATCCAAAAGCAGATAGTGCTCCTCAACACCATACTCAGGGAGTGACGCCGCCAACGCCTCCAGTTCGTTCTATTGAAAGTAAACTAGCAATGGCTGCTCTCTGCAACACTGAGGCTGCAAACCCCACCAACTTTCATGCCATCTTAGAAACATCCATGAGAGGCTCAGTGGAGGAGACTCCCCCGCAATCTCATCCATCTCACCATAGGGCTTCCACTCATCAGTCAGGTTACATTTACCACTCAAAAGGGGATGCTGCCCTACTGGAGCCCACCACAGAGGCGTATTACCATCAGCGGGTATCCCCTTCAGGTCAGGCTTCGATGGCATACCATTACAGACCAGAGAGTGTTCCACCACACGTTTCTTATGTGTCGAAATCAGAGCCACAGATTTCCTATAGAGGCCACGGTGATGGCCGATACAATACGATTGGACCTAGGTCCTACCACCAGTCCATCAAATCGCGTGGCCCTCTGAGAAGTGAATACATTTCTCCAGGCTCACTGCACCACTCCCATGGCTACAGCCAAGTAGATGGGTCTACCGTGTATCCAACAATCCGCAGGGTCCACTCCCTACATGTGGCTCCCACCGCTATCCGCTCAACGCCGGTCACCAGAACCGAGGTTCCACCAGATGATGAGTTATTTTACTACCAGCGCCCAGTCTACCACTGCAAGTCTCACCAACCATCCTCTCAAGCCGACTACCACGTCACACAACTGCAGCCTTATTTTGAGAACGGAAGAGTTCAGTACCGCTACAGCCCCTACTCTGGCTCTCACGTTCTGGATGCCCCTTTCTACGATGTGGACCATTATGGTACGATCCGCTTACGGCACGTCCATTCCTTCAGCGGTCGGGATAGTGCCCCTCTCCTTCGGTCTGGAGCCAAATCTGGAGGCTACCACTACCTTTCAAAGCATTTCATTCCTTTAAAGGAGCATAGCTTCGTAAGCAGAGACATGCCACCTTACGGTGGTTCAAAAGGGAGTGTTTACTTTGCATGGGATCCAGACGAAGCAGAGAGGCTTCGCATACACTCTATCCGCAGGGAAAGCCGAGCGAGACAAAAGGTGAAGGGTTCTGTTATGTCTCAGTATGACAACATAGGACCCTACATGCCAATGGATATAGACATGTTACACTTGCGCAGCAAATCAGATCCCGGCAAAACTGTATTGATGGCTGCCGAGAGCAAGGAGGCCAGATATAATATCGTTCCTGGATCTCAGCATGCTCCCAGGCACTTGATCTCCGATCCAGATGTCCTGATGTATATGGAAACAGAGAAGCACTGCCGAGGAAATGGGATGGGGGATAAGACCACCAAACAAAGCAGCTCCAGGACCTACTCGTCCATCCATTCACATCAATCGCAACTTCCACCACGAAGCCTGCAGCACTTACCAGAGGGTGGCTATCATGACCCGAAGTTTGAACCTGGGGAAAAGCAACCGAGCAGTAAACATTGGCAGGAACACTCGGAGAGCAGGACTGCCCAACCTCGTTACGAAAGGTCAGATTTGGATCGCCACATATGCAGGGTAAAAGCCACGAGCAGTGCCAGTGAAGATGAACAAGCAGTTCCTGTGAGGCCAGCTCCTCTACCCAAGCCAGAGAGATCCCATAGTGTTAGAGAGCGACAGCATTACAACCAATCCAGTCTTCCCGCACATCTACCAGACAATTCAGACCATAGTGGATCCTACTCTCATCAGTCACAGGGACAAAGTGCCATTACTTTACAGTCACACTATGACAACCTGGATGACTACCATCCGGTACCTCAGTCCCAAACCTCACTATCAAATCGGGGTGGTTCCAGCTCCTATCACAGCCCTGGTTTCTCAACTCCACATAGTAATCGGGCATACTCCACTGCCTTGGGACAGGGTGCCTTCATACAGGCTGAGCTTTCAGTGCAGAGGCCAGAGACAGAGATTAATGCTGAGTAAACAGGCATTTAATGACAAATAAGATTATTGTAGGTGTCAATAACTCAGTTGAAGTTTAGCAGCCTCTGCGGGACAGTGGCCTGCCTTCTGACTGTTTACATTCAGTTTCCTTTTTTTTTTTAATGTACAAAGAAATGTAAAAGACTTTTTACTGAACTGAATGTACCATAATTTCATCAGTTGTTTAAACATTGTGACATGGAAATATAACTTGTTATATGCTGTAGATATTCTGTGATATTGACAAATGGTACATGAATCATAACCAGATGAGTTATGTGTATCGGAGAAGTACTACTGGATATGAGGGATTCTTTTTGTTCTGTTTTATTACTTTGAAAAGGTCTGGGACTGGGTATAAATGAAGTGTAAAGGTTTGCATTTTAGAAATGCATGTAATCTACATTTTACAGAACAGTTCTGTGTACCTTGAATATATATATATATATATATATATATATATATATATATGTATGTATTGTGTACTTTCTGGGTGTTACAGTAACAGTGGAAGGGAAGCCCTGTTTAAGTCATCCTACCTTCATTTTACACAACTAGGTGGTACATGAAATTCTTAATATTATGCCTTCTGGTTGGGGGCCCAAAATGTGCATTTTTTCCATTTTGTCCGGACTGTGCCATTACTATTATGTATGATAGGGTTTCATCACAAGCAACTGGATTTCTTTCTTCATTCGAAAACTTGACATGATTTGACTGAACTCTGCTTGGATTGGCTGCTGTTTGTTGTTGGAGAGACCAAACAATGAATGGAGATTGTGATGGCAGAAGTATTCATTAAGATATTGGAGAATGCCTGAAGGTAAGAGTGCCAGTGTGAAGTGTCACATTTCTCGTCCCACTTTCAGGGAATTGTGTTATTGACAGGGAGTTTTTGATACATTTAGTGATTAAAATGTTTCTGACTGATTTTAGACCAGCACCTTACTTACATTTTTGTAACAAGCTGCATTACTAAATTTCACATAGATCCATACACTTTATATAAGGGGAACCCCTTACCTGAAAAGTCCATTCATTTCATAATGCTGAAAAATTTGTGAATGTCAGGTGGAGATGAACCAATATTTTAGTTATTTAAAAGGATAGTTTATGATTAGGGGACCCGCTTTTTGTTGTTTTGCAAAGTCGTTGCATGTTACCGTTCTGTCAAACAGTAATTATTATTGCATTACGATGCCTTTAAAATTTGTGTTCGAGTATTCAAATGAGCCCAAGATCACAATGGCATAATTTGTATGTTTGTGGTTGATTCTCTAATAACATCTGTTTTTGTGTTTTGCCAAGCCTTATGAAGTTCATTTTCCAGCATTTTTATGATTGACATTTAATATGCTGTTTTCTTGATTTTGTTTATTTGTTTTAGACTGTGAAAAAAATGGTTGGGTGGCTAGTGTTGAAAAAAATAAAGGCACTCATATGTAACCTCTATTTTATGGGACCAAACTGAAATTTAATGCAGCATCTCCATACTTGCACTCTCCTCATGAGGATTTGACCCTGAAAACTATAGCATTAAAGCTTCAGAGCCTAATTTAATCAAGCGTGTATGAACCTGCAGTCTGATTTCATTTAGCCTCAAATGGCATTTACTCCTTTAACGCACATTTTTGGGGAGGATTTTTTTTTTTGTATAGCAAACAAATGAGTAGGCTGAACATAACCAGTATTTCTCTTTAAAACAAATACTTATTCAGCTTACATCTGTAATATAACACAGCTGCTGTTTGATTTAATTTGGCTGGATTGTTGTAATAAAGACCTCCTTTTAGATAGCATTTGATATGTTAATCTCAAGCCATTATACTATAAATCCATAGCTATTTGGTCACATTCCCCCAAACCTCTACACATCTGCTTAAGAAGCCACCTAGCTGAACGTCTTTCTGTAATACCAAGAAAGTATTATCATACATGTCTATGACTAAAACATAATATGCTCAGTTAGCCATGTTTCAAATATATTCGTGATAACAAATGGAGCATCTCGGTGTCACGTTTGAACCCAAATAAAATTCAGCTTAGCCTGAAAGGAATGATTTATTGATTCCATTCTTCTTGTGCATTTAATTCAGTTTATTCATCTATTTTACACATGTTGTATTTGTAGTATTTTACCTTAGTACAATCAAAATATCACAAAATATAGAGGGTTTTTTAAAGTCTAATTCTTGTTTCTTATCCAAATACAGTATAAGGATAATGTTTGGGGTTGGTAAGATTTTTTTGAAAGCGGTCCCATTCTTATTTCACTGCATTTTTTGATACAATTTTGAATAACTTTAGAATTCGTTTTTTCAATTTTAATATATTCTAAAATGTACAGTGGGTACGGAAAGTATTCAGACCCCCTTCAATTTTAACGAAGGAGTGGCTTCACAACAACTCTGTGACTGTTCTTGAATGGCCCAGCCAGAGCCCTGACTTAAACCCAATTGAGCATCTCTGGAGAGACCTAAAAATGGCTGTCCACCAACGTTTACCATCCAACCTGACAGAACTGGAGAGGATCTGCAAGGAGGAATGGCAGAGGATCCCCAAATCCAGGTGTGAAAAACTTGTTGCATCTTTCCCAAAAAGACTCATGGCTGTATTAGATCAAAAGGGTGCTTCTACTAAATACTGAGCAACGGGTCTGAATACTTAGGACCATGTGATATTTCAGTTTTTCTTTTTTAATAAATCTGCAAAAATGTCAACGATTCTGTGTTTTTCTGTCAATATGGGGTGCTGTGTGTACATTAATGAGGAAAAAAAAATAACTTAAATGATTTTAGCAAATGGCTGCAATATAACAGAGTGAAAAATTGAAGGGGGTCTGAATACTTTCCATACCCACTGTAATTTGTCAAAGCTGAACGTTCAGCAGCCATTCTACTTTAGTGTCATATGATCCAAAATTGTTATAATATGATGATTTGGTGCTCAAGAAACATTTATCACAGTTGAAAACTACTTAATATAGTGCTTAATATTGTTGTGGACCCCGTGATACATTTTTTTCAGAATTCTTTGATGAATAGGAAGTACAAAGAACAACTTTGAAATATAAATCTTATGTAACGGTAAAATGTCTTTACTGTCATCTTTGATCAAATTAATTTTTTTTGAATGTTTGCATAGGTTTGATCTATACAAGAAGTATTGTGCATTTTAGATACCGGTTTAAAATCTTGAACATTGTGTGAATTGTAAGAATGCTGTGTGCCATCAAGAATTTAAACAACTAGCACAACTTAATTTGAATGAATACAGCACTTTAAATTTTAAACATTTTATTGATTCTTTAATATCAAAACAATGAAACACTTTTAATGCAAATCACAGTGGCACATAATCAAGAAATTAGTTTTTTGCATCATAAATCTTGTATCAGTGACCCACATAACGGACAGATACTGGACAGAGCATCTTCACATCTAAGTGCCAATGTTGGGGGTGTTTTCATGCAAACTCTGCAGGGCGAGATCTGACCACTTCATCTCTTGCTCTTTGACTGACTCAGTCGATCCGCCGTTGTCTTGCTCTGCTTCTGGAAGTTCACTCTGCCAGAAAAAGGTATAAAATAAAGTGAAATCATACAGGTGCATCTCAAAAAATTAGAATATCATGAAAAAAACTGCACAAGCAACAGGGATGACCGCAAGCTTGAGAATACTGTCAAGCAAAGCCGATTCAAACACTTGAGAGAGCTACACAAGGAGTGGACTGAAGCTAGAGTCAGTACATCAAGAGTCACCACGCTCAGACGTCTTCAGGAAAAGGGCTACCAAGCCACTTCTGAAACAGAAACAA